GCACCAATAATGCAGAGAGATCTCTGGTCTCTCTTGCTCCAGTGTCCTGAACAGCAGACAGTATGAGGCTTTCATCAAGCCCCTTGGGACTGCAAAGGAAACACACTTTTCTCATGCAGATGGCGGGTAATATAAGGGGACAGGAAAATCCGCGAAACAGGAAGAAGTGTGGTGTGTGGTGACTTCATTCCCTTACCCCAAACTCCATTCACGGGGTCCATGATTCAGTTGAATAGAAGTGGTGGAATACCCTTCTTCCCTTCCCTAGCACCATCAGGGCACTCATTCCACCACATAGAAATGACACTGACTCACGGTGAAATTAGAAATGTGGGAGTGTTTTCCTTCTCCCAAATGCTCTCTAGTCACATGGAAAATAGTTACTATACACTAGAGAAACTTGACAAACCCCACCTTAATTAATTAACATCACCAGTGACATTAAGTAGGCCTCTTGACTACTAGATATAGTGTGACAAGAAGGGCACTTCAATTCAATGGTATTCTTTCTCGAAACACATAATCCTGGTCTAATCACAATAAGAACAACTGGCTAAGCCTCTACTCCTCATGACTGTCAGGGTCATGAAAGTCATCTGGAAGTTCCTCAAATGGATAAGCAGGGAGTTACCAGCAATTCCACTCTTAGGTACATACTCAAGAGAAATGAAAACATAAGTCTACCTGAAAACTTGTACACAAATGTATGTCGAATTGTCATTCATATTAGCCAACAACTAGAAATAATCCAATGACTATCAACAGATAAACGGATAAAAAATGTAGTCTATTCATACAAGATTTTTCAGCCATTAGAAAGAATGACATTATGACACAGGCTATACCATGGATGAACCTTGAGTATATATCATAACCAGGTGAAGGAAGCCAAACAATAAAGACCAAATATTGTATGATTCCATTTATATAAAGCATGTAAACAGGCAAATATATAGACACAGAAAACATTTGTGATTGCCAAGGCTGAAGCAGGAATTAACTGTATTCAAGCATGACGGGACTTTTTGAGGTAATGGAAATGTTAAAAGCTTAATTATGGTGATGGTAGCACAATTCTACACATTTACTAAAATTCATCAAATTTTACCCTGAAAATGGGTAAATTTCATTGTCTGTAAAGTATATTGTAAGAAAGCTGTTTAAAAATATGGTACTACAATTTTTATGTAGTATGCCAGCAAGACAGAACTGTTCGCTCCCCTGGAAGGGGGCTGAAGCCAGGGAGCCAAGTGGTCTAGCTCAGTGGATCCCACCCCCACGGAGCCCAGCAAACTAAGATCCACTGGCTTAAAATTTTTGCTGCTAAGATCCACTGGCTTAAAATTCTTGCTGCCAGCATAGCAGCCTGAAGTCCACTTGGGATGCTCCAGCTTGGTGGGGGGAGGGGCGTCCACCATTACTGAGGCTTGAGTAGGTGGTTTTCCCCTCACAGCATAAACAAAGACACAGGAAAGTTCGAACTGGGCAGAGCCCACCACAGCTTGGCAAAGCCACTGTAGCCAGATTGCCTCTCTAGATTCCTCCTCTCAGGGCAGGGCATCTCTGAAAAAAAGCCACCAGCCCCAGTCAGGGGTTTATAGATAAAACTCCCATCTCCCTGGGACAGAGCACCTCAAGGAAGGGGTGGCTGTGGGTGCAGCTTCAGCCAACTTAAACGTTCCTGCCTGCCAGCTCTGAAAAGAGTAGCAGATCTCCCAGCACAGCACTCGAGCTCTGCTAAGAGACACACTGCCTCCTCAAGTGGGTCCCTCTGACCCCCATGAGTCCTGACTGGGAGACACCCCCCAGCAGGGGTCGACAGACACCTCATATAGGAGAACTCCGGCTAGCATCTGACCGGTGCCTCTCTGGGATGAAGCTTACAGAGGAAGGAACAGGCTGCAGTCTTTGCTGTTCTGCAGCCTCCACTGGTGATACCCAGGCAAACGGGGTCTGGAGTGAACTGCCAGCAAACTCCAGCAGACCTGCAGCAGAGGGGCCTGTTAGAGGGAAAACTAACAAACAGAAAGGAATAGTATCAACATCAACAAAAAGAATGTCCACACCAAAACCCCATCCAAAGGTCACCAACATCAAAGACCAAAGGTAGATAAATCCATGAAGACAGGGAGAAACCTGCACAAAAAGGCTGAAAATTGCAAAAACCAGAAGGCCTCTTCTCCTCCAAAGGATCACAACTCCTCACTAGCAAGGGAACAAAACTGGATGGAGAATTAGTTTGACAAATTGACAGAAGTAGGCTTCAGAAGGTGGGTAATAACAAACTCCTCTGAGCTAAAGGAGCATGTTCTAACCCAATGCAAGGAAGCTAAGAACCTTTTAAAAAGGTTAGAGGAATTGCTAACTAGAATAAACAGTTTAGAAAAGAACATAAATGACCTGATGGAGCTGAGAAACACATCATGAGCACTTCATGAAGCATATGCAAGTATCAACAGCTGAACTGATCAAGCAGAAGAAAGGATATCAGAGATTGAAGATCAACTTAATGAAATAAAGCATGAAGACAGGATTAGAGAAAAAAGAATGAAAAGGAACGAACAAAGCCTCCAAGAAATATTGGAATATGTGAAAAGACCAAACCTATGTTTGACTGATACACCTGGAAGTGATGGGGAGAATGGAACCAAGCTGGAAAACACTCTTCAGGATATTATCCAGGAGAACTTCCCTAACCTAGCAAGACAGGCCAACATTCAAATTCAGGAAATACAGAGAACACCACAAAGATACTCCTCAAGAAGAGCAACCCCAAGACACATAATCGTCAGATTCACCAAGATTGAAATGAAGGAAAAAATGTTAAGGGCAGCCAAAGAGAAAGGTCGGGTTACCCACAAAGGGAAGCCCATCAGACTAACAGCAGATCTCTCTGCAGAAACCCTACAAGTCAGAAGAGAGTGGGGGCCAATATTCAACATTCTTAATGAAAGAATTTTCAATCTAGAATTTCATATCCAGTCAAACTAAGCTTCATAAGCGAAGGAGAAATAAAATCCTTTACAGACAAGCAAATGCTGAGAGATTCTGTCACCATAGGCCTGCCTTACAAGAGCTCCTGAAGGAAGCACTTCAGGAGTGGAAAGGAACAAGCGGTACCAGCCACTGCAAAAACATGCCAAACTGTAAAGACCATCAATGCTAGGAAGAAACTGCATCAACTAACGGGCAAAATAACCAGCTAACATCATAATGACAGGATCAAATCCACACATAACAATATTAACCTTAAATGTAAATAGGCTAAATGCCTCAATGAAAATACACAGACTGGAAAATCGATAAAGAGTCAAGACCCATTGGTGTATTGTATTCAGGAGACCCATCTCACGTGCAAAGGCACACATAGGCTTGAAATAAAGGGAAGGAGGAATATTTACCAAGCAAATGGAAGCAAGAAAAAGCAGGTGTCACTTTATTTTTGATGAGTTTAATCTAATTGGCTGCATATTTTGTGACTTATTTATTTATATTTAGTACTATCTTTTCAAGGTTTTTTTTTTTTTTTCAGTCAATAAATTTGGACTTTGCACTTCTAACTAGCTTGATACAGCTCCAGACAAAGCTGAGTCTAGGTAAGCAGTCAATCCGGTTGTGGATTGTATTAGAAAAATGACTTCAGCAACTTATGTGGAGAGACTATGCTCAGGTTCCTGCATCCATAAAAATTGGTATAATAACACTCATTGCCCTTTTATTTTGCAGACATCATAAAGATACATATGACAATTAAAGGAACCCAAATATATGGGAATAAACATATAAACCTGGGGTAGGACTGTTATTATAATGATGGTAAACAATGGGCATATTCAAAATCTGAGTAATTAATACAAACTGTCCAAGACCATTTTTAAATATTGAATGCATATGGAAACTTGGAAAGCAAGAAGGAATCACAAGCTGGGACACTGGGAAAGCTTGAGAGTCCTAATCCTGCCAGAGGCACTGCAGGGTGTAGACACTTGCAACATTCCTGTCTGACAGCTCCCAGGTGAGTAGATAGATTTGTGTCTTTCCCAGCAGCCTGTGCTGCTATTTAAAAACAGGCATGGTTCCTCTCACTCCTGGTAGGAGCAAAGGCCAGTGGCCTGATGGGACAAATAACCTTTCCTTCTCTGAGCCCAGAAAATATCCATATTAATTGGAATTGAATATTGAAATGTACCACCTTTGCATAAGTCTAAAACTGGCAGCCTCTGGCTTCATTATGAGTCAGCTGTCAAATGGGAAAGACAGTGGGTGGGTCCTGAAACAAGGCTTTGAGTGTTTTCTGCATCTCTGTGAGCAGCCAGGCTTTCTACTGCTTATACTATTAAAGTCGAATATAAAACTGTCATTTAAAAGAAAGTGAAAAAAGGATGAGTTTGTGCCCTTTGTAGGGACATGGATGCAGCTGGAAACCATCATTCTCAGCAAACTATTGCAAGAACAGAAAACCAAACACCACATCTTCTCACTCATAGGTGGGAACTGAACAATGAGATCACTTGGACTCGGGAAGGGGAACATCACACACCGGGGCCTATCATGGGGAAGGGGGAGGGGGGAGGGATTGCATTGGGAGTTATACCTGATGTAAATGATGAGTTGATGGGTGCTGACGAGTTGATGGGTGCAGCACGCCAACATGGCACAGGTATACATATGTAACAAACCTGCACGTTATGCACATGTACTCTAGAACTTAAAGTATAATAATAATAAAAAAAAAAGAAAAAAAAAAGAAGAAAAAAAAATAAAAGAAAGTGACAGAGTATCTCTTTCCTTCCCCACTGTATTGGGGGTCCATTGACATTTCCACAGAGAAGTCTTCTTTGAAGTCCCCTTTCTGACAAGGTTTCTCTTCCAATTATATTCTTCTTCTTCAGCTTTGAATTTATTCTTGTTCATACTAATCTCAGTTGCAATTTTTCATTAATCTGCAGGATTATTTGATTAGTGCCTTCCTTGCCAACTGAAGAGTAAATTAGAATAAATCAAGGGCTATATTTATTTTTACTAGGGCTGCCATATTTATCACAGACAAACAAGTAAACAAATAAAATAAAAAACTACAGGATACTCAGCTAAATTTGAATTTCAGATAAACATAGAATAATTTTTAGTATAAGAATGTTGTTTATCTAAAATTCAAATTTAACTGGGAATCCTGTATTTTATCCTGCAACATTTTTAGCCACAGTTTACCTTCAGAGCTTATCACAGTATTAAGAACATTGTAAGAGTTCAATTAAAATGTCTTGAATGGATGAATGCCAGATTACAGGGAGAAAGGAAAGTATCATAACATTTTAGACAGTTGCAAATACATAAGATTGCATACTAGTATAATTATAATCCATTTCCAAAAACACTTCCTTAAAGTAAATTTTCAAAAGCCAGGAACAACCCATAGAGCTCATAGATAAAACTTTTACAGAGTAATAGTCAGTAAAAATGTCACACCACAATTCCACCATCAACATATTTTCGATTCTCCTGATATCTAAACAGAAAAGGTAACAAAAATCATATACACATCACATAATTAACTAAAAACCACATTTGAACCAAAAAGACTCTCCTCATTTTTTACAGTGTTGATTGAAATACAGTAGGTGAAACTTACAAAATATGTAGTTGTAAATAGAAACATTCACTAGAGATCAAGAGGTGTAGAAATAGCCAGGAAAAGTGGCAAATAACCCTCAAAAGATTTTGAGTGTACCTCAGATATTGTTCTTTGTCATCATTATTATAACTGTTTGACCTAATTGCTGTCTATAAATTAAAAAGCAGATTATTGTCTTCTTAGCCCCTTTTCATGTTCTCTTTTCTTTCATTAATTTCAACAAATATTGAATGTCTATTGCGTGTAAGACAATGTCTAAAACAAAATAAAAATCTGTGTAAATGTGAAAAAAAACATGATACTGACCTGGTCTTCTGTTGTACCACAGTAATGACCAAACGTTTTCATACAAAAGAATTGATGCATATGTTTCATATAAAAATGAATGCATATAGGGCCGGGCAGGATGGTTCACGCCTGTAATCCCAGCGTTTTGGGAGGCCAAGGCAGGCGGATTACGAGCTGAAGAGATCGAGACCATCCTGGTCAACATGGTAAAACCTCGTCTCTACTAAAAATACAAAAAATTAGCTGGGCGTGGTGGTGCATGCCTGCAGTCCCAGCTACTCGGGAGGCTGAGGCAGGAGAATCGCTTGAACCAGGAGGTGGAGGTTGCAGTGAGCCGGGATCACACCACTGCACTCCAGCCTGGCAACAGAGCAAGACTCTGTCGCAAAAAAAAAAAAAAAAAAAAAAAAAAAAGAATGCATATAAAAGAGTGCCTGTGTCCTACCCCTGCTGCCTCTGTCCTGTGTAACTCCAAGCAATGATCATTCCTCTTCCCCCTTCCCCTCATTGCTACATCAGGTTGTGCTTGTGTGCAAAATTTGATTGCATCTGATCACTTCCACGTCTTCCAATTATGGCAATGGCTTGAGAGCGGGTCCATGACAGAGTCCAGAACCCATCCTATGTGATAGGATGTCAGCATTAACTAATTTCTTCACTCCTCTGTGGCTGACCTCACATGCCTCCCCTTGGGGAGTCTAAATGGCACAACTCTATGTGTGCCACTATGTCAATACATATCAAAGGGTACACACCACTTACATAAACAATTTCCCTTGTAGAAATTCATCTTCAGAATGTAGTGAAGAATGTTCACAAGCATCTGGTTATAAGGACTGCCATCCTGATAATTCTCTTTTGTCACTTCTGGGCCTGAATTTGGGAAGAGAAACCAAATGAGACACAAACCCATGAAGGGGCAGAGGGAAATGTGGTTGTCAGCACACACACACATACACACACACACACTCTCACACAAACTGAGACATTTATCATGTTATGTTGTATTTCTCCTAAGACAGCTTGCCGGACTCAAGGAAGACACATTCAACTCACTAGTGCAAATAGCCACAGGAACTGTGCCCGTAACTGTGCCCTTCAGCAGTGCACAGAGTCTGAAAAGATGCCATCCACACAGTGTAGATAATAGGAAATATCAGGACAGTCTGAATAACATGAGGTTGTGAAAACTGATTATGTCACATCCATAGGATGGAATTCCAGAAGGCAACGAAAACGAGTTATAATGAAAGTAATGATGAGACATGACTTCTTGTGCACCAAATTAATCATTCTCATTATTTCTAATGTGTGCAGAAACAGGTACTTTCACACTGTGATACAGGTCATATAAATTAGTAATAGTATTTTGAATTCATTATTAATATAAAATGTTATAGTTCAAAGGGCTTTAAAATGACTCAGGAACTTATTATAAATAAATGCTTACAAACATATTTGCATATACGTGAACATGGCGTTAAGTACATTATTTTTGGTCACAGAAATGGTAAGGGAACTAAATTTTCATTGCTGTAATACTAGTGAAATAAATTTGAGGGCATCCACACAATGAAATACACAGTCCAAAAAAAAAAAAAAAAGTGAGATTTTGTGTTTAAGTATTTTAAAGTATACTTCCATGAAAAAATGGTTATAATAAGGGCAAACTTGGGTTACGAAGATGATAAAAGATCGGCATCCATTTTAGCTTACCCAGTTCTCCAGCTATTTATCCATATGTCTCAAAGCACTGAAAAAATATATTTATTATTCTGACATAGTTTTCTCTTCCACATAGTAAAGGGCTTCATTTTTTAAATGGAGGCTGTCGGTATTCCTACACACTGGGAATACCCAATTTTCCACTCAGACTTCTAGAAAACTCTGTAGGGCGGGCTTGGGCCACAACTCCTCCCTCCCACTTTCCTACTGTGATGTTCAAGCTGAAGTTCAGGCTTCAGTCACGAGGGGGCACTATCATACCACCATTGTCAAACTTCTCCACAGCCATGTTTGCATGGAGCAAAAAAAATTCCTCACTTAAAACCTAGCGTATGAATTTACATACAGAATGGCTCTAATTCTGTCAGAATAAAATTGATAAGTGTAAAAGATGACAGTAAAATCCTCTACTCTGCGGCATCCATAAGATGAAACATGAGATACCTCTAGTGCACACTGGCAGCCCATGGCAGGCAGAATTATTGTAATTTGGTATATTTTTGAAAGTTTAGTGACTATGTATATTGCATTTTATGCGAATTATCTGTTCATATCTTTTGATGATTTCTCTCCTCATTATTAAGACTTCTTCCATATCAAGGATATTATGTATTAACCATTCTAAATCCTAAATAAATATAGATAGCAAATAAACATATGAACTAGTGAAAGACTATACAATTTGTGTTTAAAAGCAATACAACAGAATTGAACACAAATGGGCAATCATATCAATAACAGTAAATTGGCTTAACTCATCTATTAAAATAAAAGTATTTCAGATTGCCTATTGAAGCAAAATCCAAAGCTATGCTTTTCCCAGTGATACACGTAAAACAAATGTATTCATATAGGTTAAAAATGTAAGGATAAATATACACTAGGCAGTTGACAATATAAAGAAAATAAGGGTTACAATCTTGATAATTAAGAGAAAAAACTGAGACCAAAATGGATTTAAAGAGACAAAAAATCACAGTTGATAAAGCCAAAGGCTACAATTCACAAGGAAGATGGGAGCTATTAATACTTACTTATGCAGTCATGTGGTAAAAATATTGATAGAACAAAAACTACAGTAGTGCCAAGAGAAGTAGGAAGAAGCACACCATTTAATAATAGATGATTCTACATTTCCTGTTATCCAAAAACGTTCAGGTGGAGAAAAATTTAGTAATTGTAGAGAAGACTTAAGCAACATAATTCCAAGGGTAGATCTTACAGATACACTTATTCTAAACTGTGAAGCCTAATATTAGGTAACACACCTACTTTTCATATAAACATGGATCATTCATGAAAACTGATTCTATCTGAGGCTGTTAAACAAAACTTGCGCCCAAATGGAAATAGATTAAAATTGCAGAATTTGGTGCATATAATCATAATGAAAACAGAGCATGTATGAATTTAGCTAGAGTAGCTATCAGAGACTATTTTAAAGCATTAAATACCGATATCAATAAAAATGAAAATAAATGAGTTAAACATTCAATTCAGAAAGCCTGATAAAGAACCACAATGTAAACTAAAAGAATGCAGATGAAAAGAATACTTAATGGTAAAATTAGAAGTGAATGTAAAGAAATAACATCTTAGCAGAGTTGGGATGAGAAGGAAGCAAACATTGGTGCTGTGAATAATGTGTCAAAAACTGTGCTGGGATCTGGAGGAGAGTTTCCCCTTGAATTCCTCACAATGCTCTCTTGAGTATAAGAATCAAGTTTGTGTGTGTGTGTGTGTACATATAGACATACGACGTTAAATTAGCTAGTTGGAGGACAAGAACACCTATAGTATTAATGTGTGTGTGTGGTTGTATGAAGACAAATATGCAAAAAAATATACATTTTGTCTAGGGATGTTCTCATATATAGTAAAGTAATAAAAAATATGTGGAATAAATACCGCATTCTGGATATTGATTATCTCTAGCAGGGAAGAAAGGGCCATGGAGGAGTAAAGTTTTTCTTAACCTGGATTAATTTTATAGTTATCTATACACTTTATCTGAAATATTTCATAAGTAGCAGAGGTTTTAGGGGATATAGTGTTTTTTTTCATAAGTCTAATCCATACTCAGCAAAGGCTTAATATTGAGCCAAGTGGAGAAGTTAAAAATATCAGTCCCATCATAGACTGGGCGCAGTGGCTCACGCCTGTAATTCCAGCACTTAGGGAGGCCGAGGCAGGTGGATCACTTGAAGCCAGGAGCTCGAGACCACCAGCCTGGCCAATACAGCAATACCCATCTGTACTAAAAATACAAAAAAAAAAAAAAAAAATTAGCTGAGTGGTCAATATGTTACATATATGCCATTTACAATTAGATGCATTGTTTAAGAACTGAGGCTGGATCAACTGGTAAAGGGTTCATTGGGAAGCAAATTTGGGGCAAGGCATGGTGGCTCCTGCCTGTGATCACAGAACTCTAGGAGGCTGAGGTGGGAGGATTCCTAGACGTTGATGAGCCTGAACAACATAGTGAGATCCCATCTCTACAAAAAAATTTTTTTAAATTAGGCAGGAGTCGTGGCACATGGCTGTAGTCCCAGCTACTCAGGATGTCAGGTGTCTCACACCTGTAATCCTAGCTACTTGGGAGGCTAAGGCAGGAGAATCGACTGAACCCGGGAGGCAGAAGCTGCTGTGATCCAAGATCACGCCACTGCACTCTAGCCTGCGTAACACGGCAAGACTCTGTGTCAAAAAAAACAACAACAAAAAAATCAATCCCATCATGGTTGAAATTAACATTGAGCTATGTTCTTTGGGATTTTTTTGTGTATACATGTACGCACATGAACTGTACATATACTACATATGCAACTCATATAATTAATATACCATATATATAGTTCAGTACCCTGTCTTTTTTGTTATTTTAGTTTTCCTTTTACCTTAAGTACTAACATGTGGATGAGGCATTCTGGTTAAATTACAAGGTAAAAGACATGATACAACTTTGCTTTTTTTTTGAAGGTTCTTGCTCTGTCACCCAGGCTGTAGTACAGTGGTGTGATCACAGCTCACTGTAGACTTGACCTCCTGGGCCCAAGCAGTCCTCCCACCTCAGCATCCTGAGTAGCTGGGACTACAGCCATGTGCCACCACTCCTGCCTAATTTTTAATTTTTTTTGTAGAGATGGGATCTCACTAGGTTGCTCAGGCTCATCTTGAACCCCGGGCTCAAGGAATCCTCCCACCTTGACCTCCCAAAGTTCTGTGATCACAGGCAGGACCACCATGCCTTGCCCCAAATTTGCTTCCCAATGAACCCTTTACCAGTTGATCCAGCCTCAATTCTTGAACAATACATCTGATTGGAAATGGTATACATGTAACATATTGAATAATATTATATGTTTGGGTCTGCTCCTGAGATTTCTATAGAGTTCCTTTAATCTATATATCAAACACTCTGTCCAACAGTTATTTTCATTATAGGTTCATGAAACGTAATACCTGGCCATGTATTCCTACTCCTATTATTCACCCTTTTGATAGGTGAAATGAATAATAATAATAAAATATGCTAACAATTATAAGGTATATAGTATTAATAGACAAATTGCTTACTATAGATCATACAACCAAAAAGTGATGGTTCCCAGGGTCAAATTCAGAAACTTCTCACCCCAAAGCCCACACCTCTAATCACTGTTTCTACACTGAGTGCTCCTCTGTGTTTGGGCTGAGGCCAACAAAGGGAAGGGACTTTCTCAAAGACCTGTGGTCAGTTGAGGGGTTTTGCAGCCAGGGCACAAGGTTAATGATTCTCATCTTCAGTCCAGCTGGCCCATTAATATTCCTGGATCTTCTGTACTGTTTCTTCTTGGGGCTCAATAAGAATTCCAGAGGGATCATGGTGGATGGGAGGCAAGACTAGATTGCAGCTCCCACGTGGACAGGCAGAGCAGTGTATGGAGACTCGCATCGTGTACTTTTGCTCCAGAACTACTGCAGAAATAAACCAGGAAAGCTGAGAGAACCCACAGACCTTCTGAAAGAAGGAGATTTTTCCTGCAGGACCCAGGAGACACTCCACATACTGTGAGTGCCCAAGCTGTGGAAGTGGGAAAGGGGGATCATCTACCCCTGAACATACACCCTCACTGGGGAACCTGAAAGTCTAGATCATGGGAGAA